TTTACACACTGAGCCACCGTGTCAGCCCCACACACAATCTTTGTTTTCACACACTGAGCCATCGTGTCAGCCCCACACACAGTCTTTTTTTTTCTCTCTATCATGATACATTAAAACTACTTGATTACAACTGTAACTAGGGTTCCAAGAAAGAACCCTGATTTGGGGGTGGGATGTAACAAATTAACTTGGACCAGCAGTCCCAGATATCAAACAGAAAACACACGATGGGAAAGCAGGAAAAAATTTCAAACAGAATGGCTATGTTGGGAAGATAGACATCATACATCTCAGCCTAGAGAACTGATATAAGCTTTGAGTTTGACTAAAGAAATAAGGGCAAGGGATGAGGGATACACAAAATGAATGGTCAAATTTAAGTTTGGATGGTCATTATCCCAGTGTTGGATCTGCAGCAGGGCCTCTTTACTGCCTGAGAAAACAATCTGGTTCTCATGAGATTACTTTTGCTGGTAAGGGGTAAAGTCCACTAAGAAGAGGATTGATTATTTGTTTGACTTCACTGTTCTTAGAAAAGGTGACTGTAGGTTTAGGACAATGGTTAAAGACTTTCAGTCACCTTTTAGGAGATCTAGAACAGGATATTATAAAAGCTAACACCAAAGAACTTTTTAATTCTTATCTTTGTGCCTTAAGCCTTAAATGAGGATGAAACTGATTAGGTCATAAGTTTTCAGACAGACACTCCTTAATTAACAAGCTTTCATGCAGAGTTGAACAGAGGTATGAACCATAGTAAAAGAGGCAGATATAAAATAAAAGCAGAGATACCAGGTTTTATCTTGCCTTTTAGTTACTTGTGGGCATAAGTCAGTGCATTTTTAGCAAAAGCAGTGTTACTTTCCTATTACTGTGATAAGACACATACCTTTAATCTCAGCACTCAGGAGGCAGAGGCAGGTGCATCTTTGTGAGTTTGACGCCAGCTTGAGCTACAGAGTGAGTTCCAGGATAGGCTCCAAAGCTACACAGAGAAACCCCATCTTGAAAAACCAAAATAAAATAAAATACTAACAGACAGTCAAACTATAAAAATCGAGATTTCCATCCCCGTTTTCTTTTGACTCTGTATGTTTAAGGACACAATGTCAAAATATAGGTAGAAAACAGATTTCTGTAGCCACATATATAGCTTTACAGACTTTATAGACTTTGAATGACTTTACAGACATTCTTATCACCAATAAACTTGTGCTTTAAGAATGTGAATGGTAGTTCTTTTGACTGAAATCAAAAGACACCAGAAAGAAATCTTTAGTCATACAAAGAAAGAAAAAGGCCACCACCAACTGAAATGCTAACATGCACCGGGGAAAGCTCAGGAGGCCTCAACCGTAGACAAAAAACTACACACAGAGGCAACTAAGGTATGCTAAGAGCAGGAGAAATAGTGTTCCCCAAGGAAGAGCACACCAGTAGGTTACTTATCCAATACCAAATTGTCAGCCCTGGAAACATACATACAAGTAATAAAGTAATACAATACAGACTGAGCAGGCTGCATTAATTATTTAGGAAGGTATATGCACACACATACACACACACACACCACCACCACCACCACCACCACCACCACCACCAACAACAATTAAAGAAAACATGGCCATGTATTTGAAAGAGATTGGAGGGGGGAGTAAGGGTGCATGGGAGGCTTTGGAGTGAAGAAGGTGAAAGTGAAAATGTAATTATAATCTCAAAAAATTATTTTAAAAACAGAAAGAACTAAAGAACAATGGTAAACATAAAGCCACTAATAGTCTATCTTTTTTGTTAGTCTTTTTTCCTATGATTTAAAAATACATAAAATTACAACTTCAATCTTAGTAAACAAACAGTATATAAAGAAATAATATATGATAATAGATAATATAAAGGAATAGTTATATATACTATCCAAACCAAACCAAGTTGGAATTAACTTAAACTTGTTAAATAAGACATTAATTGTAATATCAAGTATCAAATATCGGTAACTTTCAAGCAAAAACTAAAAAATATAAAAAAGAAATGAAAGGGATAAGAAAACATCACATAATAAAAAAGACATCCAGGGCTACACAAAGAAACCCTGCCTCAAACAAACAACAAAACCACCCAAACAAACAAAATGAAACAAAGCAGTCATAGAGAAATTAAGGAATGGGAAAATGAAAGTCATAGAGAAATAGCAAAGCAAGTCCTTCCTCATCAGTGATAGTACATACTGAAATGAATTCCCCATTCCACTCGAAGGATATAAGAGCACTTCTTGCTAAAATACCCTAAGATCTTGTACTTCTCAAGTAATTACATTATAGTTTTTTCTGTTTTTTTTTTTAAAAAAAGACCAACAGAGCATCTTTCGATGAAGAGTGTTTAGTGTTTCACTAGTCTTTAGCATGTGCTATACCAACCGAACTGCACAGAGCAGATGCTCAAGGTAAATATTACAGTTAAATAAAGAAAAATTTTAAATAAGTATAGTTTCAAAATGATTTTTAATCCTAAAGAAAATGTCTAAAGCTAGTTATATATAATCAGAAAATAAAGAATAAACAATTTCTGGACAACCCCAACAACTAATATCTCAAGTGAGAAAACATTAAAAACAAATCTGTGTTAACCTTAGAGACAAGAAATATTTAAAGGAAAACAAAAGCAGAAGGTACCTGTTTTCTACACTACAGAAGCCCTCCATATCTGTCTTCAACGACATGCCACCTTCTCTCTGGCACACTGCTGCTATAACACACCACAGCCAGAACAAGTTGATTAGAACCACTAAAACCCTATGGTTTCAAGACTAATCACTTCCATCTCATTCTTCAAAACTTGGCACAAACAGCTCTTTACTCACTGAAGATCTCCTCAGAGTTCGCTGATTCCTCCTATGTGCTATCACACAGTTTTACATTTTTACTCTAACACTAAGTACTCTGTGTACCACTATTTGTTTAAGATCAAACATTGTTTTTTCTCCATTATCTCTGTATCCCTAGTGCCAAGGCCATATTAAATGCTCCATTAATCTTTATCAGGAGAATGAACAAATGTAGGGAAAATGGCTCTGTGAGTAAAAAAGTACTTGCCGCCAAGCCTGATGACCCAAGATTGATCACACATAATGGAAAGAGAAAAACACCCACAAGTTGTCCTCTAACATACATATCGGTAGTGCTGTGGCATGCACATG